AGAATTAAATAATATGAAATCAGCTTTCCAAAGATAAAAAGTTTTACATGAAACTCCAAAGTGTACATTTGTGTCCTTATGCAGGAAAATTATTTTGGTTTCTTTATTCTAACTGTATGTGGACAATGCATTCTTTTGAATTCAGTCACCTCTATATATGCAAATGTCTATAATTAAAAAATATCTCCCCTGGTAACATTCTGGGGACTTTTTTGCCACAGTCCCTACCCTTCACACCATAATCAAAGCCTGCTATCTCAGTCCTCTTAAGGTTTGTGACTCAGACACTAAGGGTGACTGTGTCTCACACATTCATCAGTAGTGGTTTTTAAAGATGTGCAAATTGTGAGCCTTTCTTTCCACTTAACCTTGCATGCTCCATTAGAAACCATTTTCCTTAACATACCAAATCCTATTTTTGAAAAATTTAAGATAATGACAATGTGTTTTCCTTACAGAGGTGATCTAAGAAGCCTGTTCCCTTTTGTAAATTAGATACTGAGGACAATTCATTGTTAATTCTTTCAGTGTTCTTGGGTTTCAAATAATTATTTGAAAATTCACTCACTTAAACAGAGTCTCAGTCATCTTTAGATCCCCTCAACACTTGTGAAAAAGTGCTGAGAGAATTCTAGTGGTGAAGTTTGATTTAACAAGCCCAGGCACCCTGGCTCTGAATCCAGTGTATAAAGTTACTTCTTGTAGTCGTGTTGATTTGAGGTGATGTGGGTACATTTAGCTCATGAATGCATCAATTAATTTGAGATTCTTGGGCTTCAGACCTTTGGGAGCCTCCCTCTCCACAGTTGAATCACTTCCAGAGGGAGAGGAAGCCTCGGATTGCCGTCTCTTTTGTTAGTATTGCAGTCTGTCAACAAGGCCTCCTTTAAAAATATTTATGGTAGTGCTTGTACATGACAGCCCCTTACAAGAGAAAAGAGTGTGGCAGGTATGATGGAAATCTGTGTATTTCCCTGTCTTAGAATTAAGCCTAACTTTAAAGGAAAATTCTGTATATGTCTTAGCATAGATAAGCCACTCTGTGACTGAAATGGGCCAGGTGCTGGGACAAGTAGAGGAGGCTGCCGCTCAGCTTTGCACAATGGCTCTGTTCTCTTTCTGTGTAGCTCTAGTAATTTAACTTTAAGGCTTAGCTCTCTCACACAAAAATGATAATATCCATCTAGTAATAAAATGACTGTAACAATGGGATACGATTGAGGACTGGCACAGGATAGGGCAAGGATGTGGCTCATTGAATTGCTATGAGGTGTAGTCAACTCATGTAAATGTATGCATCATAGAACAAAATGGTCCCCTAGACCAACAATCTTCTCATGATCATGTGATCTTTTCACAGTGCCTTGCAAAGGAGGGGACTCACCTTTCCACACTATACTCCGTTGTAATTTTCATCGAGTAATTGTAATTGAGTTTTCATTGGGTCATTTTTGGAAGTAGATTACGTAAGATCTTTCTTCCTATTTTAGAGTTTTGCTATAATCTGTTCACTATGGTTGAGCCTATTGGTATTTTAAATACTAGTGACAAGAGATTCTAACAGCAAAGCAACCTATAAGCCAACACAGTTGTGGTGTTATCTTAAAAGTTAGCTTTTCTAGCTATTATGTTATTCCTCTCTGATCTCCAGCTACCTTAACCGCAGACGCACGAACCTTGCAATTCATCAAGAGCTGTGGGACTGGGATTTGAGGGAGTGCTTCCCACACTGAGCGGCAAGACTTGAGGGAGACTGGAGCAAGACCCTGATTAGAGCAAGACCCCAGTAATGATGGTGGTGGAGAGATTGTGCAGAGCCTGTGACACTGCTGTGCAGAGACTGTGTAACACGCATTTGTGCTGCCCACTCTTAAAGGTTACAGCTAAAGGTTGCTATTCTTGCCTAAAGATTGAAGGAGAAACTTACTTAAAACTTCGCTGAAGCTAAACTTCCTGGATGATTTCCATTGTGTGATATATTTTTTTCTTCTTCTTCAACTTATTTCCTTAATAAACCCCACTATACCACAACTGTGAGTAAAGTCTATGAATCAACAATAAATTGAACCCAGGAAGTGGTGGAAACTGGTGCAGGAGAATGGGGCATGACATGTCCAATCTAGCAGCTGTGTATTTACTACTTATTGATGGGGACAGTTCCCCTTTATGAAGCAGGTAGAAGTCAGACTCATCCATCCCCACATTGCATCGGCTCCTTTTGCAATAGTACAACACAATGACAGTGAGTATGATAGATGTCATTGCTGGTTGTCAATTTTGACTCTTAGTGACCCCATGGGATAGAGTAACACCACATATGCTCAGCTATAATCTTTGCAATTGGCATAATGCATAATATATCGAGCTGCTAACAATAACAAAAACCACAAAAAAAACCCCAAACACCTGCCCCCACCCCCAAAACCCCCCTAGCAATTCAAATACATCTACTAAGGGAGGATGAGAAGATAGTAAATCCTGTAGAAATTTACAGCCATGAAATCCCAACAGAGTATTGCCATAAGTTAGAGTTAACTCAGTGACAGTTTGCTTTTTTCTTTGGAAAAAAAGTTCTTTGATTGTTATACAGTCCACCTCCCACCCTGGACCACTTTACTATGCAGCTCTTATTCTGGACTCTTGTCATGCCAATAATACCTAATCATATATTTCTTTTATACAGTTCTCTCCCCCATCTGTTTAAACGCCATGCACATTATTTATCCTCTTTTCTTAGTTTCCCTCCAACCTCCATATCAGTCCTGTTCTATAACAGTGCCATTATGCAAAGTTGAATGTATTTTTTTTATGGGCTACCTAGGTTGCTATGATGAGGGAGAAAACCCCAAATCCAACAAGCAAATAACATAACCTTCTTCTTTGGTTATTCCTGATGTGGTGGTGGTAGAACTAGTCAGAAAATGCATTTTCTAGTCTTTGACTTGGCCCCTCTGGGGACGTGGTCTCCAGCTGCCTCATTGATCAGCATCTTGTACATATTCAGCTGTGAGATCAGCGTTAGAGAGCAAATCCAACCGTAGAGATGGTGGTGAGGTAGAGCCTGACAGTCCTGGAGGTGGAGCCAGAGTTAAAGGTTTTGCTTATTGAAGGAAGAGCTGACTTAGGACTCCTATGACGCAAAGCTTGCTGGATGATTGAGGGAACCAAAGGATTCTTATACTTGTGTATTTGGACTGAAACTCAACTAAAAAGCTGTCTGAGCTAGATGAGGGACTGTGTTTTGTTGTTTATCTGACTTGGGACTACTAGATTAAACTTGAACTTTCACCGTGTGCTATTTTTTGCCTCCCCTACACTCCCAACTTATTTCTCTAATAAATCCCACAACTTACTGAGAGTGACTGTAATGAAAATCCTGAGTCCATTTGCAATGAACTGGGGACAAAGGAATGAGTAGGAGTAAATGAGGGACAATCCTAACTGGGGATGGGGGAGACATGTACTAGGGGGAGGCTGTGGTGTGTATCTGACCTTGTTGCTATTTATTTGGTATTATGGATGTTATTGATGGAGACATTGTCCCCTTTGTAGAATTAATTGTGGTCAGATTTAGCCTTTTTTTACACTGTTACCATTACCCTTGTATCTTTTATACTGGGTCTCAAAGTGTTTTCAAAATTGTACTTCTGATTTCTCCTTGTTTTTATTTAAAAATTAAAAAAAAATAAAATTGGGAGAGATAAGGAAGAAACAATAGTGCAAACAAACAAATAACGACCAAAAAAGCAACTTTGGTTAAACATAGTTAAGGATCTTGGTGAAGCATGTTTTTATCACGGTGCCAAATGACTCTCACTAAAATTGAGGCAATTTTTGATGCACTTGCCAATGTTTGTGTTATTTTTACTTTAAAGATGTAACAGATTGCTCTAGAATAAATAATTTAAGCTAATGTTTCAAAAGCGTCCAAGTGCTTGCATCTTTCACTTCTGGCGTGTCTTCTGGGACTAAGCTGTGCCCAACCAAACCCACCCTCATTTCTCTAGAATGCTCCACGTGAAACATTAGTTTCTGGCTTCAGTTTACAAAGTTGAATCTATTTTTCCTCATTCTATTCCTCGTGTTATATCCCATCATTGTGCAAGACTGAAGTAATAACTCCAAGAAAGAAAGGAGTAACAAATCCACAACAGACGAGTTTCTGATCTTGTGGGAGAAGAAGTTGGAAAGGCTGCTGTGAATTCCAAGGGATCTACTGATCCATATTTTTACTTAAAAGCCATGAGCAGTAGGCCAAATTCTGCACATAATGTCCTCCTCAATTTAATTTTTTTGTTTTCTTATTATTTTTATTAATTTTAATGAAAATTTACAGAGTTTGGATTTCCATTCATTCATTGTTGCACTTTTCTCCCTGTGCAACCCCCCCCCCAAGTACACTCTTCTCTTTGAAAAGTAAATTAAAAATTCTTTCATTGTTTTACAATCCCTGCCCCCAGGTCCACTCCACTATGTAGCCTTCATTCCGGACCCCTATCATGACAATACCTAATCACATATCTGTTTTAAACAGTTCTCTCCCTCATCTGTTTCAATGCAGAATACATAATTTATCCCATCTTTTTCAGTCTCCCCCCCGAAGCCCAATGTCAGTCCTGTTTTACAACAGTGGCACTATGCACTATTTGTCCCTGTGTGACTGAGAAATTTCACTCAACATAATGTCCTCCAGAGTCACCCATTTTGGATAATATTGCATGAGTTCCTTATTTTTCAGTGCAGCATAGTATTCCATTGTGTGAATAATTTAAAGTAGCTTCAGACATCCCTCCCCATGCCTTTATGTACAACAACAAACAGCAATATGGCATAGTCTGGAAGAGATGTCCATGATAAAGAGAAATCAAAAGCAAATTGTTATACTATTTTTAAACAAAACATCAATGGTTTTTATACTAATTTTAAAAAAACCTACAAAGAGAAAAAAAGAAATGCAACCAGAGCAATGACCTGTCAGTTTTGTGCTCTCACCAATCTAGGTCGTTACTGCGAGGTTCACCAGATGACCGGAAACTACATGTGGGACCCCAACACCAACAAATCATTTGACATCGGTGTCAACAAAGACAGCCTGATGCCTCTCTGGTGGAATGGATCAGAACCTCTGTGGATCACTGTGACCAAGGCCAAGAGGAGGGCCCGCATGTACTACTGGCCAGGTGAGCGCTTTGACATGTGCTTTGCTCTTCTCTTCCTTGAGGAGAAAGGTTTTAGGTCTCCTATTCAGAGACCAAGTGAATTAAAAATGGTTCTTCATTTAACAAATACATATTTTTACTTTGAAATACATCATAACATTGGGTTAGACAAATATGTTATTTCTTACTTTTCTTCTGTTTCAAAATGTCATTGTGTCCTCCAGAAATATGTGGTATACATAATCTATTCTATTAACAGAAATATATGTGGTGTATAAATAATACCATTAATGTTATATATACGTCTATGGTCATGGTTATAATCCCATCTGAGAATGTGTTTTCTTATGTTAGAGTGTTCCTTGGAGGCAAAGATGGCAAAGTTTCGTCTTTCATACTTTGCACATGAAGCTCGGCAAAGATATTTCTTGGAAAGGGACATCGTGTTTGGAAAGATGGAGGGTCAGTGAAGGAGGGGACACAGAATGAAGCCCTGTCCAATCCTGTGTCATACTCAGTCTCTGCTGAGCTTAAGGCCGTCATTGTAGCCAGTGTGTGAATCCATCGCATTGCTGGGGTTTCCTCTTTTTAGCTGGTTCTTCACTTTTACCAAACCTGATGCTTTCTCCAAGAACTAGGCTCCTGATAACGTGCTCAAAGTATGTGAGATGACTTCTCAGCACCTTGTTTCTAAGAAGCAATCTGACTGTTCTTCTTCTAAGACAGATTTTCTTTGTTCTTTTGGGAGCTGATGGCCTATTTAGCAATTTCACAAACACAATTCAAAGATATCAATTCTTCTCTAGTCTGCCGTACTCATTGTCCGCCTCCCACATAGTTATGAAGCAACTGACAATTTCATGACTTGGATCACTTGTACCTTACACGTGATGTCCTTGCTCTTTAGTTCTTTGGCTGCAGACCTATTCATTGCATATATGTTTGATTTCTTGAAGTCTGTTTCCCTATGTGTTGACTGACTTCGAACTTCTCTCAACACTGAAGAGACGATTCAAACAATTTAAACTTTCTGGTAATGCGTTAAGTGAAGTGAGATGATGCATAGTGTGTTGTGCTGATGGCCACGTGAAGGAAGTGGGCCACTAGCAGGAGTGTGGAGGATGCTGAGGAGAAGTGATTACTTATGGAACTGCTGGGGACACTCAAGGCTGTGCCAGCTCTTACAGAAATGAAGAACACAAGCAGTTGGAGACCATGGAGAGCAGATTCACAGGCCTGGTGACAGAGCTGTGGGCACGGTGGGTGCTGTGAAAACTTCTACACAGCAACAACTGGTGTCAACAAAGGACCTTTTAAATGACCAGGCATACTGCTTTAATAAAATACTGGGCAGGAAAAAAATACACAGTGTGGCTCAGCAGAGAGTTTCAGGGGGATTGCAAGAGAGTTCTCTCAGAAGATAACAGGAATCCTTTTTGTAAAGCCATCTCAGTTGAGGAAGCTTTCAAGCAAGGGAAGGCTTTAAAGGACTCCGTTACCTTGAATGGAGACTCAGCTCTTCATACAGAGTTGAACCTTTTATTAAGGAATCAAGAAGGCACACCACACAGACTATTCATGCTTACTGGAGGAGATAAACTCAGGGTTGAACACAAAGTGATGGACTTTAAATCCAAAAGATGTTGCTGCATTTTCAGGTCCTTTCCAGAAGCATTGTGATCGACAAGTATGAGAGCACCCACGTATAGGTTTGAAAGAGGGAATGGATTAGGGACCATCCTAAAACAAATCAAAGTGAATACTGCCTTAACGCCATGAAGATCATCTTGCACAATACCTTGTTGGTTTAACCTTCGTGTCATAGAACACACTCTGAAGAGCATCTTCCCCACAATCTTGAGCCCCCATTCACCTGCTTTGTAGATGATCCCCTGTGGCCAGCCTTTTGCATAGCCATGGGTGCCAATATTCATGGCAAGGTCTGAGAGACTTAGAAGGGAAACAGTCACCATAGTTACTATTCATGACTGCAGTAGGAGATTATTCTTCACCTCATCCAAGAGAATCTAGAACCTTAATTATAAAAAAACCCAACATTTATTTATTTGTCATGGAGCATCTACAAAATCGAAAATAATGTAAAAATTTCAAGGTATAGATCTAAAAACTTGACATTCTGGATTTCCAGCCTACAAAACTGGTTGACCCATCTAATTAGCGTTTGTTTTTGCCTCAGACTCTGTTTTAACTTCTCCAGAATTATGCCAACAACTAGGCCAAGAGGCAAGCCATTTCAGAAGTGGATGCCCCTCCTGTAGACTACCTTAAACTGTCTGATGATTGGGAAATAAAATGCATCTTTCCTGAAAAAAAAATATATTTGTAACTTCTCTGAATCATCTCCTTAGGAAAGAAAAATCTACTCACCTCCTTTGTGGTGTGACAAACCCTGAGATCAGTTACAGTGTCATTTGCCTGAATGACATGTTGTCCTATGGTGTCACTTGTGACTCATAGTGACCCTATATACAATAACTTTGACCAGTCTTAAGATCTCTGACACACATACTTCCATTATCCCAGTTACTGAGTCAATCCATCTCATCAGAGGTCTTCCTCTCTTGTGCTGTCACTCCACCCTACCAAGCATGACGTCCCTATCTATGAACTGGCCACTTCTTGCAAAAAGTCCAAAGTATGTCCAGTGAAACTTCAGAGCCCTCGCCTCCAAGGAGCTGCCTGGTTTCACCCTCTCCAGGGTGAAACTGTTGTTCTCCTAGCAATCCATGAAATGTTCAATATTTTTCTCCAGCATCACGGCTCAAAGATATCAATTTTCATCCTTAGTCATTGTCCAACTTTTTGATACATCACAAGTAATTGCAAAGACCATGACCTGGATCAGGCCCACCTTAGTTTCAAGACTGACATTTTTGCTCTTCAGTATTCTTGAGAGGTCTAGGTGCCATCATATCAGGAGAGAAGAACCTAAAAAAGTCTCCTAGAATTTCTTCCCTGACTAAATGGAGATGAGCTGAATATTTCCCTATATTATTGATGGAAATAAGAATGAATTGTCTTGACACCGTCTCTAGTCTTTCTAAAGTAGTTACAGAAACAAAAACTCTGAGAACAAGTTGTCTCTGAAGGCATTGCTGTGCAGCTCAGTCAGAAATCCTGGCACCCTCCAATCTCACGAGTCAATGGCTGAGTTACTAATGGTCACTCCCATCCATTTCGCCTCCACTGTGGTGCCTTCCAGCAATATCTAATATGCTATTCAGCATTAATTTATCTTTGCAATATTAAGTGAAGTGGCATCTTTTCAAAACATGACTTGGTTTTCTTTTTCTTCACAAATCCTTCTCTTCCTTCTCCATGCCCTGCAGGACATTGTACATGTATGAGGCCTGGAAAATCTTCATTGCTCCACTGAGCTGTGTTATGACACTCTGAGTCTCGCCATTAAGTCAATATTTAGAAGTGCAATTTAGAAATGGCAGTAGTTCAAGTCTTCCTGTCAGGTAGATGAAGCAGCAGACTGAAAAATTGATCAGTGGCAAAGAGTCCAAAGTACCCCTCCTCAAGTCTCCAGAAATTTAATATTATAAACAGACTCTTTAGCACCCCACCCAACGGTGCCGTTGAGCTGCAGAGGGAGCACTTAATCCTAGAAAATTACCCCAGGCATTAAATCAAATAGGCAATAGGACCCCCAAAACCAGCCAGGAACTGTAAAGCCAGGAATACTCTGCAAAGAAGAAGCTAAGTATGTATCATTCCTTTATGCTACCTCTCAGTTTAATAGCAATGGAATTGTATTAAAGAAGAGGGTTAGGTTCACTTCACCATAAAAGAACAACCCACAGCAGAGAAAGATGGAAAACTGTCAAGGATGGGATGATAAGCAATAATTATGTGGAAATAGAGTTTAGACTTAGGCCAATCAGTGCTCTCTTAGACAGCAGCAAGTTTTTGTTTATTTATGTGCTATCATAAAATGTTAAGAAGGGATAAATAACAATAACCTTTTGGGTGTGTCTTGTTAAAACTCCTTCCACCAAATGTATGAAGAGACTTTTAAGTTGTACTCATTATGTTCCCTTTTCTCATTACATGCGCTGGTGATAGTGTCAGGTCTGGACTCTTCCTATCCATTCAGGTGTTCTGATCCACACATCACCTTCGAGCTGGGCAAAGACATTTTTTTCACCTGGCTTCCAATACCCCGCTTTCCAGAATTGTGCAAGTTGAGGAGTTAACAGGAAGGCATCTGACCTGAGACTTATCAATTTTTATTATAATAATCAAGCTGATTTCATCTGGAGACGTAAGGAGGTTTTACTGGCTGTTAGTCAAGAATTATGGATCTTCTTCAGGTTCTTCCCTTTCCTAGCATGGCAGATTCCAGACCATCTTTAATTAAGCTGAACTTCAGTACATTCAGACACAGGGAAAATTAAAAGCCCAGTATAAGTCACATAAATGTGTGAGCTAACATGTTTAGTTAAGCTCATGACATCAAACATCTGGCTAAAAATGGCTTCCCCCCACAAGAAGATATTTAACACTGCAAAGACAAAAGACCTGTATTTTCACTGAATTTTCCACTAATGTTACTAACCTAACATTAGACTTTGAGATGAATGTAATTTTAGTACTAGAAAAAGCTTTAATTAGGGTGCCATTTGATGGTTTGTACACTTAGGAGTTAAGAACTCATTTGAGAAACTATTCATCCCCTTTCCAGAAGAATGTACCTTTATATCCTACACAGTTCTGGGTTCATGTAATACAAGAGACTATAATGGTGGGGGAAATATAAAACTAAAAAGATACCTAATTTGTTTGGATTTTTTAAAAATATATTTTTTAAAATTTGAATCTTTTATGTAATAGAAACATATGTTAAAAACGTTGTTTCACCAGAGCACCAAGTGAAATCCAAACTCCCATAGTTAATGTTGTCTGGCAAGGATACGCCAAGGCCAACATTCACATTGCATCATTTCCTTTCGTAAGTCAATGCCTCATCTTTGGCAAAGTCTGCCTCACTGATG